AAGTAAAAAGTACGCTGAAAAATAATTACTCAAGTAAAGTACAGATAACCAAAAATTCCACTTAAGTACGATAAAGTATTAGTTACTTTACACTTGTGAAAACCAAATAATGCTAAAAGAAAACCCAGAAATTAAACTTTTCTAATAAAGTCCAAAAATGAGGAGAATTTCCTGTTTTATGAGCCAAACCAGAATTTTAAAAATGACGCCTCTTTGTTTGTTTGGTAAAAAGRGGAAAACTATAATTTAGTGTTTTGGTCCCACAAACACAAACACCGACTAATCGACTTTTTGACAGAGACATCAACTGTCGCAGCCATTTTTAAATCATATTTCCACGACAAAACGTCCCAACTCTTTGCACATTCAGCTCCTAATCCCGTCTCTGAGGACATCTCGTACCTTCAGCCGCCTGGATGACGCTGACCTCCAGCCCCTTGAACGTTTTGCTGGCCAGCTCCTCCAGCGCGCACAGCGGCGACGACGGCGTGCTGATGATCCCGTTCCTCGCCGAGTTGGCGCCCGCGACCTTCTCCAGCAGCACCGCCCGGGGCGGACAGGCGCTGCTGGCCGCGGATTTCTTCACGGAGGGCTTGTTGAGGATATCCTCGATGCTGAACGGCGTCAGCGGCTTGTTGGAGTTGGCCGGCGGCGGCAGCTGGTCCAGCGGGGCGCGCCTCCGCTCCTCGCCGCCGCCGGACTGCAACACCGAGCCCGCCTTCGCGTCTTTACTGGAGGTCATCGCGGTCCCGAACGATCGCTGCTCTCAGGAAAAGTTGGTTATTTCATTCAAGTGGCGGATTGTAAACCAAGTTTAAAAAAAAACTGTAATAAATCTCTGGCAGATCCCCGCTGGATTCCAACTCCTGCAGACAAACAGCAACTTTAGCTCGCCTGAGGTCCTCCCTCCAAAATAAGCATGCTTCAGGCGGAGGCAGCCTGTATTCCCCTCAGAGCGTCCCAGTTCCTCTGCCAAGCTCCATGGATGTTTAGAAAGTGACAAACTGGAGGAGGTGAATCCCTGCAAGGAGCGGAGCAAAGGGAGAGGRAAAAAAATCGTCTTTCTCAGGCACTGAGAAAAAGAAAGAAAGCGACTGCTAACGACTTATTGTTGATTGGGCGAAGTTCAATTAGAGAAACACTACACCACTTGGTGACCCGCTGCTGCGTCTTAAAGGGCCGGAGCAGAAGAACTAATTGGACGTGAGGAAAAGGAGGAGTCTGGACGCGCTGAGGAGAAACACGCTTTGAAACGTTTCTGCATCTGTTTCCCTCTGCTGGTGTGTCCCTTCAGAAAGGGAGAGTTGATCAGTATAACTGCCAACAGAAAATTTGTTTAAAAAACAAAAAGGTAAAAAAAAAAAACAGGTCTCCAGCTCTGACAGTCATGCGTAATTACGCACGGAGCGTTTTGCGTAATGAGCCCATTATCAGCACTGTGTTGCGCACAACGAATATTTATATAGAGCTGATTTTAAAGTGAACATATTTGTTTTAAAGGAAATATACTGAGTCCATTAAAGCAAACACTAAGGTGTTTTATTGTCTGTTTTACTGACATTATTTAAGTCATAAACTAAGTGTTTTGCTAACTTCAGCTTAAGTACTCTAAATTAGCTTGTTATCATATTTATTCACTTATTAATGTCAAATAAAAATAATATGAATTAAGGGGATAAAATGTTCAGTGGGTGTTTTAGATGAAACTGATTTGAAATAATCTAACAGTTGTATTCATTTCAGTGTAAACAAAAAGCCTCTGATCAAAAGAGCGGTACCTGTATGGCAAGCAGTTGTATCATGTAATTGGTATTGTTTTATATCCTTAATATGTGTTCATCAAACTATAGCAGAGAAGATGAACAGTTTTACACTTTATTTATTTGTATTTTCAGACCAAGACATTATATTTAGTGATTTTTATTTTGCATWAAGTCTGGCTCAAAATATTGAAATTATCAATCTTTTTTTTTCTTAGGATGAAACATTTAGGAACTGATCAAKCTCTGCTTGTCACATGACCTGCAGGTTACTGTTTACAGTTCAGATCAGATCAAATATTGATAGTAACAGTATGACATAGTAACTTGGACCCAATGTGTTGGAATAACAGGATGGTTTTTTTCTCTCTGCTTCTGGATGCTATTGTCTATATATTATCCATAAAAAAATCATAAAAATAAATAAAGTAAACAATTTTAAAAATGCATTTCCCATTTTGTTTACTTGTACTCAACCATATGGATCTGTGACCTTCATATGGTAAACAGGGGGGTATTTAGGGGTTTTTGCCACCTCTGGTAAACCCATCTCAATAAGTTGCCACCTTCATTGTTAAATGAATATTTAGTTTTACAGTATTTGGAGTTCTGTGGAGATGTAATTGTTTTTTAATGTCAAGCTTTCTCTCTGATTTAAAATGTGCAGACTTTATACATTTTAAAAGGATTTGACAGCTGAGCCTGGAAATGTCCAAACAAATGAAAACACAAGAGGTCAAGTGTTTGTTCAACACACTCCAACAACCCATCTTCTTTTTCTGCAAATAAAAACGAGTGAAAACTTTTCATTTGACCTTCGTCCTGCAGATAATTCAGCACGTTAATCAACATAAAGGATAATCTAAGACATTTATAATTCTTCAAAGAAAAAAAAAAGAGCTCTTAATCCAGGGGGGGCTCTCACAATAATCTACACACACAGGACTCAGTTTTCTGTTCTACGGCCCTGATCAAGACCCCCACCCCCATCAGAGATAAACTGCAGCAGGTGAAAGTGTTTTCAGTCCGTTACAGATAAAAGCTACAGTAGATTTGGACCTCAGGCCGAACCTGTGCCTCCAAAATAAAAATCTAGGTCCGCCATTTTCTGAGGTTCTGGTTCTGCTTTTATCTGTGGGAAAATAAAACCCACTAAAAACACACCAGACGTGTTTTATTTTTATTATTTAGAAT